CTCCCCACCCTGGAGACCCTTCCAGCCTGGTCTGCGGTGCCCGAGGGCAGGCGCTCCTGTGGTTGGCAGCTCCTAGCCAGCTGGTCCGGAGCCCCGGGGTCTGGGGCGGGCCGGGCAGGGACGCCGGTGCCCCCACTGCCCCTGGCTGAGCTGTGGTGCCGCAGGTGTGACAGTGACCACCCCCTCCATGTCGGGCACGGGCTCCTACCTGGCACTGCCCGCCCTCACCAACACACACCACGAGCTGCGCCTGGACGTTGAGTTCAAGCCTCTGGCGCCCGACGGCATCCTGGTGTTCAGCGGGGGGAAGAGCGGGCCTGTGGAGGACTTCGTGTCCCTGGCGATGGTCGGCGGCCACCTGGAGTTCCGCTACGAGTTAGGGTCAGGTGAGCACCAGACGCTGAAGGCAGGTGGGCTCTAGGTGCCAAGCTCTGCAACCCCCCTCGGCTCCCCAAGGCCCAAGGAGGGTTGGAGGAATAACTTCCGAAGTCAGACCGACTGAAGTCCCCTGTTCGCTCACGTTCTTTCGCTCCACTTGTGACTTTAAGCAAGTCCCCTAGGCCTCTGTCGGGTTCCTCCTGGACCACCCTATCCGCTCAAGTGCCCGTTGGGGGGGGGGGGCCCTCCGCGCACACCATCCCCGTCTGGCATTCCCCCCCCGCCCCAGGGCTGGCCGTGCTGCGGAGCCCCGAGCCCCTGGCCCTGGGCCACTGGCACCGAGTGTCTGCCGAGCGTCTGAACAAGGACGGCAGCTTGCGCGTGAACAGCAGAGCCCCGGTGCTGCGCTCCTCACCGGGCAAGAGCCAGGGCCTCAACCTGCACACCGTCCTCTACCTCGGGGGCGTGGAGCCCTCCGTGCGGCTGCCCCCCGCCGCCAACGTTAGCGCCCACTTCCGCGGCTGCATGGGCGAGGTGAGGAGCAGGGGAGAGGAGGGGAGGGTGCAAGCCGGCCCCTCCGCCCGCAGCGAGCCCAGACCGCTTCCCGTCGAGCCTCCGTTCCCTCTTCTGCGAAACGGGGGTAGTGACACCTCCTTCGAGGAGTGACCGCGCTGCCGGACGTCCCTGGCTCGCAGGAGGCATTCAGCTCAGGTGCCTCCCTCGCCGGTGCGAGAGTCCCTTCCGCTTAGGTTCCCAGCTCCCCTCCGCCGGGCCACTCGGCCTCTGGCCCCGGCCTGCCCAGGGCCCCCTCAGCGTCCCTGTGCCCACAGGTGTCGGTGAACGGGAAGCGGCTGGACCTCACCTACAGCTTCCTGGGCAGCCGGGGCGTCGGGCAGTGCTACACCAGCTCCCCGTGCGAGCGCCAGCCCTGCCGGCACGGCAGCACCTGCATGCCAGCCGGCGAGTACGAGTTCCAGTGTCTGTGCGCGGCTGGCTTCACGGGTGAGCCAGGCTGCCCGGCCCCGGCGGGGAGGGCGCGGGGTGCTGGGTGGCCGCCGCGGCCCCCGCCCGCTCACGGCGCCCTGGCCCGCAGGAGACCTCTGTGAGCACGAGGAGAGCCCCTGCCAGCTCCGTGAGCCCTGTCTGCACGGGGGCACCTGCCAGGGCACCCGCTGCCTCTGTCCCCCCGGCTTCTCTGGCCCCCGCTGCCAACAAGGTAACTGGCCTGGCTCCTCCCCACCTCCCGCTCGGGGCCCTGGGGCGCGGCGCACGGGACCCGCCGTGTCTCTGCCCGCCGACCGCACCTGCCTCTCCTCACAGGCCCTGGACAAGGCACGGCAGAATCTGAGTGGCATCTGGAAGGCAGCGGGGGCAACGGTACGTACTTCCTGTGGCCAGAGAGGCCCGTCTCCTCCTCGGCTTCCCGTCGCAGCCCCTCTCCCAGGGAGCCCACACTCTCAGTTCCGGCCTGTGAGCAAGACAAGGCCACGTGAGAGGCTCACTGGGCTCAGAGGGACAGAATAAAGAAGAGCCCGGCAACACAGAGCTGGCTCCTGCCCTGTACTTACGGGCTAGCTGAGCTGGCTCGGCGGCCCCGGCGTGCGTCCTTGAGCCACTCTGACCTCAGTTTCCTCCTCTACGTTCACACATGCTGTCAACAAACCCTTGCATGCCCATCCTCGCCCTGGAGGCAGGAAATGTAAGATGAACAAGGCAAGACCTTCCTTCTCAAGGATTCCACAGTCTATTTAAAAGCAATGATCGTTTCTTAAAAATCAGTGTTTATTGAACATTCGCAAATGCTGGGCCAACGGCTTTGTAGATACCCATCTTCTTATTTCCCACTAATGTGATAGGAGAGGTAGTGGCAGAGTGGCTAAGAACACGGGCTCTGGATTCAAATCCTAGCCCTGCCATCTACTAGCTGTGTTCCCTTGGGTGAGTCACATACCCTTCTGTGCCTCAGTTTCCTTATGTGTAAAATAAAGAGAAGTGACATCCTTCCACAAGGGTTGGATAAAAGTTTGTGTCAGGGTACAATTATTCAATGTACTTAAAATGCCTAGAACAATGTCTAGTCGACAGTGGGTACAGAACGTTAGCTTTTGTTAACATCATATCTAAACCATAGGATTATTGTAAGGATCCCTTTAAATGAAAGGATGCTTTCCTGTGACGCTCCCCGCACGTTGTTTGGCACATAGCAGGTGCTTGGGAAGCGTTCGCTGTTCGCATCATTGGGCGGAGGGTGGCCAAGCGTTCCCTACCCTTGTAGGCCCACAGGGACCAGGACTGGCATGTTGGCTGGGTCCAAGCAGGTAGGGCTGGGGATGCTAAAACCACACACAGTATGGACGTTGGGGCCTAAAGGTCCGGGTTGCCATGCTGGCTTCCGGCTTTCTGGGCAGGTCACTCACACCCTGCCCCCAGCCTGTCTTCACCTCTGTAGGATAGAGGGAACACAAAGGTTCTGAACCTTGTATGTGCCATGGACCTAGGTGACCAGCTCTCCCAGTTTGCTCAGGACTGAGGGGTTTCTCGGGATGTGAACTTCAGGAACTAAAACCAGGACAGGACTCAGCAAATAGGGATGATTGGTCACCCTATCTGGACCCTACGGACTACGTAAAATAAAACACATAGGATTTCAGAGGAAACCAATTGTACTGAAATAAGTTTCTCAAAATATTTAGAATTTTCTGATTTGTAACATATGAGCTTCTGTAGGAACACACTACATAACGAGATCGACTGGTGGCCCTAAGAGCTACCACAATTTCAGGAAGCCCTGAAGTGTCTGTAACCACTGTCACGTGATAAGGAAACGTGTTAGTGCCCCACTATGGCTCCTTGGCTTTGCTGCCCACATGCACAGCGGAAGGAACTGCTACATTTCAGTGAGGAATGAGTGAAGGTCGAGCTAGTGTCTGCCCGTCCAAGTTCACAGACCCCTGACTTGTGTCCATAGCCCCCTGGGGTCTCTGGAGACTGCAGAGGAACACACGTTGGGGTGGAGGTGGGGGTCCGGGAGCCCGTGCAGTGGCCGCTCCGTGCAGACGAGCAGGGGCCTCACCATCCCCCCGCGTCATCCCGCAGATGCCCCTGGGCAGTACGGAGCCTATTTCCACGATGACGGCTTCCTCGCCCTCCCTGGCCGCATCTTCTCCAGGAGGTGAGGCGGGTGTTGGGGGAGCTGGTGGGGCCAGCCAGGGGAACAGGAATCTGCACCTTCTTCCCCCTCACCCACCTCCTCCACTCCCAGCCTGCCCGAGGTGCCGGAGACCATCGAGCTGGAGGTTCGGACCCGCACGGCCAGCGGCCTCCTGCTCTGGCAGGGCGTGGTGAGTGTGGGCGGCCAGCCGGGTCTCAGGGTCCCCAGCCCCCTGGTGGCCAGGGCCGTGAGAGGGAGGAGGGCCGAGGCCACAGCGGCAGGGGCCTCGGCTCTCCAGACCAGGAACCCCAGCAACCCCGCGCTTCCCTGGCAGGACGTGGGAGAGGCCGGCCGTGGCAAGGACTTCATCAGTCTCGGGCTTCAGGACGGGCACCTTGTCTTCAGGTGGGTCCGGGCACCTGGCCCTTCCTCCCCCTCCCTGGCCGCCTGCACCGCTTCAGTTGGCTCCCCCTCTGCTCGGTGCCACGGCTCCTCCCACGAGAAGCTGCAGGCCCCCAGCCCCACATACCACCACCGTCTGCCCCAGCTCACACTGTCTTGGGCCTATGTGACTGCAGCTACCAGCTGGGCAGTGGGGAGGCCCGCCTTGTCTCTGAGGACCCCATCGATGATGGCGAGTGGCATCGGGTGACCGCGCTGCGGTAAGAGAGCCCGCCCAGGCCCTGGGGCGAGGGGCTCAGAGTTCCGGGGTGGGACAGGACGCCGCCCCCCATGTGCAGCAAGACAGGCTTTGAGCTCTGGGAGACAGAACTTGAAGCCAGGGTGGATGAAGAGCCCACCAGCCTGAACACAGACTTCCAGGGCGGGACATAACGCCATGGGGGTGCGGGGGGGGAGACAAGCACCCGAGGGGACGGGTGACGGCTGGGGGAGGTGCTAGGAAGCTGTGTTTGTGGGGCCAGATCTCATCCAGTGGGGGGAAGGAAAGAGTTCCAAGCAGGGGCAGGACTTCCTGTCTGGCATCTCTGTGCAAAGGGAGGGGGGCCTCTTGGAACCGGTGGTGAGGGGCCCACCCCCATTCCACCAACAGAGAGGGCCGGAGAGGCTCCATCCAGGTGGACGGTGAGGAGCTGGTCAGCGGCCAGTCCCCAGGCCCTAACGTGGCAGTCAACAGCAAGGGCAGCATCTACATCGGTAAGTCCCGGGCTCGGGCCTCAGTGCAGGCCTCGGGCACCCTCCTCGGGGCCAAGGGAGGGCATGGGGCCCCTGCAGAGCTAGGGCATGCCGCCTTCCTCAGCCTCTGGGCCCCGGGAGCTGACAAGCCCTGTCCTCTCCCCCCGCCCCCCACCGCGTCCCCGCAGGCGGAGCTCCGGACGTGACCACACTGACAGGGGGCCGGTTCTCCTCGGGCATCACAGGCTGTATCAAGAACCTGGTGCTGCACTCGGCCCAGCCTGGCGCCCCGCCCCCGCAGCCGCAGGACCTGCAGCACCGCGCCCAGGCCGGGGCCAACACCCGGCCCTGCTCCTCGTAGGCAGCCGCCTGCCCCAGACGGACTCCCAGGCGGCGTCCCAGCCCCACGACGTCGAGTATATTATTATTAATATTATGATGATGAATATTTTGTAAGAAACTGAGGCAATGCCACGCTTTGCTGCTACTGCCCTGGGCTGGACTGGAGGGTGGGCGTGCCACCCCCCCTACACAAACACACCTGGGCAAAGCCGCAGGCTGGTAGGTAGGGCAGGTTGGATGAGAGCCGGTGCCTCAGAGGGCCGCCGGGACTTGCGGTCAGACACGGCGGCCGAGTGGGCTCCGAACTGTCACCACCGCTCGAGAGCCCCTCCCCCCCCCAGAGCTGGGCTGTCCAGTCCAGCAGCCCTCGGGCCCCTCAGTCCCACAGGAGCCAGCCGCAGCCCACAGCCTGGTGCCTCCCCAGCTCCCTTTGCCAGGCAGCTCACCCCTGGGCAGGCCAGCCCGCCACCGCCAGCCCGTGTCCCAGCCCCTTCCACCTCTGCCTAGCCAGCCGGGCCCCCTGCCCCTGGCAGCCTCCCCCTCCCACCGAGCCCTCCTGGCCCGCATCCCGCCCCCCCGCCCCCCGCCCCCCAATGCCTGGCCCAGGGCCCCTGCCCTCAGGGGCGGCAAGGGAAACTCCACCCCAACTCTTCCCAGGAGCTGCTACAGGCAGAACCCAGCACTGAGAGGGTCTCCCCGCCCCCACCAGGCCATATCCCCCTCCCCCCACTGATCTGGAAGTGAAGGCCCAGGGGACATGGGGAGAGGAGGGCACTGGTGGTTGAAAAGAGTTAGTGCCTTGGGTGGGAGATGCCAGGACTCACGCCTGGGAGGGACAGGAAGGGGACATGACAGCCCTGCCCCATCTGTGGGGAGCCCGAGGGCCCATGTGGGGGCATGTGCCCTCTCCACCAGCAGCCCGCAGATGTGGGGTCAGGACGCCTGGCCTCCGTGTCCTAGAAGGGACCCTCCTGTGGTCTTTGTCTTGATCTTTCTTAATAAACGGTGCTATCCCTGCCACAGCGATTTCCTGCACCTCTGGCTGGGGCTTGACTCGGTGGAACCCGAGGGGGTGCTGGGGGGCGGGCAAAGCCGGGCAGGTGAGCACCGGGGGTGAAGCAAGGCAGCTGCAGGGGAGCGAGGCCCCTGCTCCCTGCCCTTCCCGAATCCAGCAGGGTGCCAGCGACCTCCCGAGCCTCGGGGCCGTTTAGCCCCCGTGTACCTCACGACAGCCACAAGGCAGGAGAGGAGCAGACTGAGTCTGCGGGTTTGGTGACGTGCCCAAGGTCAGGTGGCCCTCCTGGGGGTGGGGTGGAACGCGAAGTCTGTCTGACCCCAGAGCCCACTCTCCTGTTTCTGAAGCCACAGCCTCTAGGGCTGTCCTCCCCGACCCTGCAAGGCCGGCCCACTGGCCTGCAGCCCCCCAGGAGCCACCCGGCCCGGACACGGGTAACAGGCGGTGCAGCCGGGGCAGAGGCCGTGGGCACCAGCCCGCCAGGCCAGCCAGCGGGACGAGCAGTAGCCCCAGAGGAGGCCCACGAGGAGGCCCGCGGACACTAGGACCAGCGAGGAGACCAGCGCCACGCCTCGGAGCCGGGGGCCTGCCGAAAGAAAGGGAAAGCCCGCTCAGGCCCCGTGCCTGTCACGTGGGGAGGGACAAGTGTGACCTTGGTGGGAGGAGTGGGAGCGGATGGAAAGCAAGAGCCATCTACCTCCCAGAGGAGCTGCTTGTACCCTGCTGTTCCGGGGCCCGGCCTGCGAGGGGGGTGCTCTGGGCGGCCGTCTGGAGAGTTCCTGCAGACCTGAGAGCCGGGGGGAGCGTCAGGGGCTTGGACGTAGGGCCATCCGTTACTCCCCGCCTGGCTGGGCACCAGAGAGGGATCTGCAGCGGGAAATAATAGAGGAACACACAGAACTTTCCAGGGCTTGACTTGGGCTCCTTGAAGTTTCCCCAAACCTGTCTGAGTTTGTTACTATTAGTATTTCCATTTCACACATGAGGGAAGTGAGGCACAGAGAGGTTAAGTCACTTGCCCAGGTCACAAAGCCGGAAGTGCTAGGGGAGGACTTGAGCTCATGCGGCCCAGCTCCAGTGCCCAGGGTTTATAAATGGAGCTACTTCTCAAGAAGGGGGATGTGTCCAGGGGCACCTGGGTGGCTCAGTCGTTAAGCGTCTGCCTTCTGCTCAGGTCATGATCCCAGGGTCCTGGGATCGAGCCCCGCATCAGGCTCCCTGGTCCGTGGGAAGCCTGCTTCTCCCTCCCCCACTCCCCCTGCTTGTGTTCCCTCTCTCGCTGTCTCTCTGTCAAATAAATAAATAAAATCTTTAAAAAAAAAAAAGAAAGAAAGAAGGGGGATGTGTCTGTACTGAGCATTCTCTGGGCACCAAGCACCGTGCTGGGTGCTGGGCTCCTTACCTGTGGTATTTCACTTGGGACAACTCCAAAAGGTTAGGTTTATCAGCCCCTTCAGCCAGGTGTTTTTTTGCAGTAAACAACCTGTTCAATAGTACATAGCAGCCCTGTTCGCAGGATGTGGCATCTTAGATTCCCAGGAAGGAGCTTCCTGGGTGGCCTATTCTGGTCCCCCCTGCCCACAGAGGTCATTCCTGGTCATGCTACTCCCTGGCTCTATGACCTTGGGCAAGACATTTCTCCTCCCCTAAGCCTCAGTTTCCCCATACATAAAATGTGGGAGACAAGACTGGACAATGGTTTCCAAAGTAAGTCTTGAAGGTCCAACTCAGGTCCCTCGGTGGGACATCAGTCAGCCAGGGCCTGGGCCTCCATGTCCAGTTAAATAGGGCATCTTCCCTTTGCTGTCTTGATCCTCTTCAAAATTTCACTTAGGAAAAGCTTCCACCACTGAAGTATCATTTGGAAGCAGCTGGATTAGATCATCTCCAGCGTCATTCCGGCTCTAACTTGCTCTGATCCTCAGATAGTCTGGCCTACACGGATTCCCCACTGCTGTGCTTCACCTTATTCTCTCCCGCCATGCCCCTGCCCCCGGCCTCCCCACTGAGGCCCTGCCCCCGGGAAGGGGAGCTAGCCCTGGTTTCCCTCCTAGCTGCTCAGCAGGGCCCAGGCCGCACCCATCACTGACCTCTGCAGTCGGCTGGTGGCCCAGAAGCCTGGTCACTACCATCACCACAGTTGTCCACACCCCAGCGATCGCACACCAGGCTCGGGGGTATGCACCTGCCGTTCTGACAGCGGAAGTAGGCGCCAGAGGCTCCTGGGGCCAGGAGGGGAGGCATGAGATGAGAACCCTGAGCCAGCCTGTGACACACAGGGATGTGTAGCCCTATAGTGAGGGAACGTGGGAGCTGTGAGCCGCAGAAAGCTGCAGATGAAAGCATGGGTGGGTGTTCCGTGGGAGACAGGTGTGTGGTCACCAGGATGACGCTGATGGCTGACATTTACTGAGTTCCTATCCCTGTGCTGGGCATGGCTCTAAGCACTCCACTCACACCCCAGCTCCTGAAGTTCTCACAATAACCCTACATGATAAACACTGTTACTACCCCCATTTCAGAGATCAGAAGACAGGCCCAGAGACCTTAGGTCACTTGCCATCGGCTCTGCCTGGCCTTCTTTCCCCAAAGTAACTGCATGGCTCACTCCCCTCAGGTCCACACTCAAATGTTACCTGCCAGGGGGCCCCTGAGTTCCACGTGAGAATGGCACGCCACCCTCCCCCAGCGCTCTGATCCTCCTTGTCCTGACTTCCATCCCTCTGCAGCACTCCTCACCTCAACAGAACATGGATTCACTCGATTACGTGTTTATGGTCTGAGCCTCCCGCATAATGTCAGCTCAGAGAGGACGTGGACTCCTCTTCCGTTCATTGCTGTAGCCCTGGAGCCTAGAACAGCACCTGGCACATTGCAGGTGCTCCCTAACATTTGTTAAATGAATGAATATGCACGCAGGTGAACAAATTGTATGACTTGATGCGCAGGGCGTGCAGAGAGGTTGACTTACCTAGCATCTCATTCTGTGGAGAAAAGCTGGTGCAGGTGGGGTTGCCCAAAACCCTGGCTCAGGGGTGGGCGTGGGAATCAGAGCATTCCACTTCCTGGCCACGGAAATGGACACATGACCCACATGACTAATCAGATTTGGCCCTGGCACTTTTGCTAGAACCATAAGAAAAGATGCTCACTCTCCATTTTGTTGAGGTTAGAGCTATAATGGTGACCATGGACTTGGAGCTGCAGGGTCATCCTCCTGCCAGATAGAAAGAGAAGCTGCCTGAAGTGGAGGCCAAACAGACGCCCACAATGCAAAGACAGAGAGCAAGGAGACAGCGCCCAGGTGTCTTACTTGAACTGCTGGATGCAGCCATACCTGAACCAACACCTTAATATCCCAGTTATAGGAGTCCCTCCCCATTCTCTTTTGGCTAAACCAACTTGAATTGGGTTTCTTTTGTCTACAAAAGAAAACGAAGACTATATAGCAGGTATGTAGGTGTAAGAATGAATGTGAGAGAAAACACAAACAGTAGTGTGGTTATGTATGGGCGGTCATATGTGGGTGTCATATGTACGAGTGTGTGCATGAACCAGGCAGGCTGTGCCTGCAGGTGTGAGTGAAGGGGACTGTGTGTGTGGCCTGAGGGTGTGAAATGAACCTTTCTTCATTCAAATGACAAACTGATCTGAGGAAGCCAGACCTGTGACAGGGCCTCGTCCCTGCCTCCTTCTTTCAGGAGTTCAATCCTGCTAAACACAGAGCAGTGGCAACATCCCGGGCTCCCTGGCTGACAGCTGCACCTTGCAAGCAGGCAAGGCCACAGGGAGAAAGAGAGCGAGGGAAAAAGAAAGAGAGGGAAGGAGGGGTTAATTCTCAATCAGCCTGTGAGAGCTGTTTGCAAAACATCGTAGGCCCCTGGGCATGCTACAGCCTACAGGAGCCAGAAAGGAGACCCCAGGCACCACTGGTCTTGGCACTAAGGATTTAGGGTCCAAATTTCATATAGTTCCTCCCAGAGCCAGAGACTAAGGGGAAGAGAGAAAGAATCTAAAATCCAAAATTCAGGGGTGCCTGAGTGGCTCAGTCGGTTAAGCGTCCAGCTGTTGATTTTGGTTCCGGTCATGATCTCAGGGTCCTGAGATAGAACCACACAACGGGCTCTGTGCTGGGCCTGGAGCCTGCTTAAATTTCTTTCCCTGCCCCTGCCTCCCACCCCTGTTCTTGCTCATGCACACGCGCTCTCCCTCTCTCTCCAAAAAAAAAAAAAAAAAAAGTTTTTTTAATTAAAAAATAAAATAAAATCCAAAATTCAGGCCAGGCATCAGGCCAGAGGAGAAAAAGGTGGGGGCCTTGTCTAAAGAGACCACGGGACGGCCCGAGGGCTCTGCCCGACCAGCTCCGCTTTAAAGGGCTGTCCAGGGCCTGGCTCGTTGAAGTCTAGTCCCTGGTGAGCCCGTGCAGGCCCTCACATGGCCCCGTGCTCCAGTCTCAAAGTGCTCGCAACCCCATGTTCAAATCCCCAGCCTGGATATCTTGCCAACGGCGGCAAGAAAGCTTCTCTGTGCTTTTGGCGTCTTCTGGGTTTTGGCAGCTCGCCTGCTCGCCATCACCGGACACAGCCTCTGCTGCGACACAGGGGGGCGTCTCCGATCCTGGGGGAGCCTGCGGGGGCTAAAGCCTTGAACTCAATTTGAACAAGAGGACGTGCTCTAGCCGCTAAAGCCCAGCCGCTCCGCTTGTGAGCAGGGAGACCCGGGCCCTTTACCTAACCCCCCAAGCCTGTTTCCCATCCCGAAACACGAGCACGAGAAGACGGGCACGTGCGGCTGTGAGCAAGAGACAGACCTGGCACGCCAGGGGCAAAGGCAATGCGTAATAAACGATCATTAACTACTAGCAGTTCCCTTTCCTTGCTGAAGCGGGTATCTGTCACTTACAGTCACCGGAGACCCCGCTCAGCCCCTCTGCGTTCATCTGCAGGGCTGGCCCAGGACAGAAGAGCCGTGTGTGAACTTGAGAGTGTGTAAGTTGTATCTAAGCATGCAAAGTGATACTGTATGTGTATGAGGTGTGTGAGTGGGCAGCATGTCAGGCACGCGGGTTGTGTGTTGCAGTGTGTGAGGCACATGGGTGTGGAGTTGTGTAAATGAGTGCAAAGTTGTGGGTTATACGCACATATACGTGGGTGTTGGGATGTGAGGTTTGTGGGTGTGAGGTTGTGTGAATGAGTGTGCAGGGCGTGGGGACTGTGCAGTGTGTGAATGTGGGTGTTGGGGTACAAAGTGTGTGAATGTAGGGTCATGTGAATGAGGGCAGTGTGTGTGGGTGTTGAGGTATGAGGTGTGTGAATATGGGGTCGGTCGTGGGGGGGCGGTCATGTGAATGAGTGTAAATAGTGCATGAGTGTGGGTGTTGGGTGTGAAGCGTGGAGTGTGTGGGAGTTGGCACCGGGTGGGTGTGTGCGGGCGAGCGTCAGGGGCTGGTAGGGGGGCAGCCATACGCGGCCCGGGGAGTCAGATTTACGGGGTAGGCTCCGGGGGTCTGGATTGGCCGCTCCCGGGACCGCGCTCTGCCCGTTGCCAACCCCCACCCCGCCCACGCCCCAGCCCCCCACCCCCCCCATCCTCTGGCACTGCAGGGGCCACACCAGGGACCCCAGCCCGCAGCTGCCCCCGGCTTGGGGGCCCCGGCCCCGGCCAACAGCCCGCACCCACCCAGCCGGAAAGAGGTGGCTTCGCCCACGAAGTCCACGCGGGGCTGGCGGCCTCTCGTAAGCAGGCGGAGGCCCAGGAAGGGTCGGGAGGACGCCACCGGGGCGGGGATGGTCAGGCCGCAGAGAGTGGCCCCCAGGGGCCGCGGCGCCCCCGGCGGGCCCTCGTAGAATTGCAGGTAGGACCCGGGGGCGCACGGGCCGGCCGGCGCGGGGGAGGAGGCGTTGGGTGCCCGGGACGCTGGGGGCGCCCGGGCCGCCGCGGCCAAGCTGTAGACCAGGAAGAAGCAGAACTGGAAGCGGGTCCTGTCGCCAGCGGCCGCCGCCCGCATCCAGAGCCCGCAGTCGGTGTCCGGGGCCAGGAAGTAGAACCTGCGCGAGGCGGAGTGCGAGCGCAGCCGCAGCCCGGCCCCCTGCCACGTCTGCCCGCAGAGGTCCACCAGGTCGGCTGCAGGGAAAAGCACGGACCCTGGAACCGCGCGGCCAGGTTCCGAGCCCTGCCCGCTGTGTGACCCCAAGTAAGTCACTCACCCTCTCTGGGCCTCAGGTTCCTCATCGGTAAAATGGAATGATTGCCCGACCTCAGAACTTTTGTGAGGGTTGAATAATTTAATTCGGGCCTCAGTCTCTTATTCAAAAACGCTAGGATGTGTTTCAGAATTTTCCAGATTTTAGAAAGATAAGGTGGGTAATACAGGAGATTATGTTGCAGCCCTCCATGATCAAGCACATTTTCTAGAGCAAGTCTACAGACGTAACCCTAAGCAGGACAAATAAAGACAAGAACCAGCCTCCTATCAGTTCAAGTCAGGTGTTGCCAGTAAATCAGTTAAGAAGAATTTGGGCTTTCAGAGCTTTTCATATTTTGGAATTGAAACTAGAGGACTGTGGGCAGGTAAGGGTTCAGTGCTTAGGACAGTGCTGCGCATTTAATGAGTGTCACAGAAGTGTTAGCTATTATTAGTATCTTATCCGAGGAGGGGTAGACTCAACTGGGCACCCGCCCACCCCACAGCCTTTCCCTGTTGCTCCTTGATAAAAGAACCCTATTATCTCTCAGCTGTAGGTTGCTCTCTCCTGATCATTGGCCTAAACCAAACTTTGCAATCCTGATTTAATTTGCGGGGTTTAGGGATTGGCATGGGACCAGATTCTGGCCAATGAGATTGAAGAGGTGTGCTGGGGACTCCTGGGAAAGCTTTTCCTCTCTGATTAGAAAAAAAGAAAAAGAAAGAAAGAAAAGGGAGAGCCGTGTGATGAGGAGCCTCTTTCTTCCTGCTTTTGAAAGCAGTTGACTGAGGATGTGATGGCCAGCACTGTAGCAGCCATCTTGCTAGGATGAGGTCATGAGACTCAGGGAAAATATTGACATGGTTGAGCTGTTAAATTAACCATTTCTGGAATCACCTATGGCCACTCTCCCTAACTGAAATAAATCCATTTAGGTTAAACTCTGTTAGTTTGGTATCTGTTACTTACATCCCAAAACATCCTCACTGCTGCAGAGTTGTTGTGAGGATTGAATGAGATAATAGGCAAATAATCAAACTAGCTCTGATTTTTGTTAAGACGGAGAAGAGGAGGTGGCTTTTCTGGTGCATGGTAGGGGCACCAGTGGATCTTGAGGACCAACCAGAATGTGGGTTTTGGGGGAAGAAATTTGCCATCAGGGCTCAGGATGTGGGAGCCTTTTCTCAAATCTGCACAGACCTAGTAAAGCCAGACCCTGCCCTGGAGGCCCGCGGGGGAGGAGGGAGGTTTGGAGAGTGAATGAATTGAGTACCTTCTACGTGCCAGGCGCTAAATGTCTTACGCATTTATCTCATATGCACAGTAATAATAGTCCCTTAAGGAGCAAGGGCCCTTATTCCGACTTTGCTGCTGAAGAAACAGACCCCGAGAGGTGGAGCAGTGATGTCACTGAGAGTGTGAACACAGACCATCTGCCCCCAAAGCCCATGGTGTTGCTCATTCCCTCCCCCCACACACACACACACGCACACTCCAGACCCCTGTTTCTGGGTGACTTGGAGCTCCAGCCTCCCAGAGCAGTTTGGGGTACCAAACAAGACCAGGCACAAGGCTTTCCAGCCTCCTCCAAGTCAAGGGGTCCCAGCCCATCATGGGGATACGGTGTCTACGGGTGGTAGGCTCAGACTCTCCTGCGCACCCCAGCCAAGCCCCCTCCTGCTCACCTGTCTCCAGAGTAGATGCAGCCAGGGCAGCCGCCCCCAGCAGAAGCAGCCTTTGGGGCACCATCCAGGCCCTGCTGTGCCCAGCAAGGGGACAGACCTGCAGAATCCTCAGTTTGGGGTCTTTGGGGAGACTAGGGTATGGGGGCCTGGCAGACAGGCTGACAGGACACAAGGAGCAAGGGGAGGTAAGTCCACTAGCCGTCTGGTCTCTTTATAGTGATCTTTGTGCTCCAGATCCTTCTTCAGATCAGGATTGTGTCTCGGGTTGCCGTGGAGATTTGGGGCTGAGGCTGGAGCCTGGGGAAAGAAGGCTGGGAAGATGTCTACTCATTCCCTGCCAGACAGGAACCACGGAGACTCAGATCCGGTTCTCCCACAAGGCTTCTGGGAGGGGGACCCAGCGCCTCAGAGAGCTGCTACTCTCTGGATAAGTTGACACCTTAGGACTGAGCTTGAGGGAGGCCCAGGACATCAAAGGGCAGCTTTGAGGGCCCTATAGAGGCAGCGAGTGGCAAAGGAGCACTAGACCAGGAGTGCCTATCCCAGGGCCTTTGCACTCACAGTTCCCTCCACCTGGAGTGCTCTTCTCCCATAGCGTTCCATGTCTGGCTTCTTCAGGTCTTTCAGGTTTTGACTCACATGTCACCTCCTCGGACCACACTTCCCAGATCACCTTTCCATCTGAATTAGTACTCTCCCTCCTTGTCTCTCAGTCACATCTCCCAGAATTTATTATCTTAGCACTCGCTCGAATTACTGGGCTGACTGATATCTTGTGTATATTATATTGGCCCCACTAAAATCGCGTTCCACAAGGGTCTTGTTGATCTCTGAACCCCCAGGTCATAGCACAGTGCCTGGCACAGGGCAGGCCTCCAGAAAATAAGAATAAATAAATAAAAATAAGAATAAAAATAAATAAAAATAAAAATTTAAAAACAAATAAAATAGTATTGAGCACATGACCTCTCTTTTGCTGGGTTCAACTTCCCCATGTAGAAAAGAAAGGACTTGGATCATTTCAGGATTTTCCAAAACTTGTTATTAGACCAGTGTTTTTCATGGGGCATGGGGCTGGCTCAGTCAGTGGAGCATGCAACTCTTGATCTCGGGGTTGTGGGTTTGAGCCCCACGTTGGGAATAGAGATTACTTAAAAGTAAAATTTTTTTAAAAAAAGAACAATTTTTCAGAAGTTTTCTTACATGGAAACTTTTTTTTTTTTTTAGATTTTATTTATTTATTTGAGAGAGAGAGTGTGCATGAGCGGGTGGGAGGGGCAGAGGGAGAGGGAGAAGCAGACTCCCTACTGAGCAGGGAGCCCAACATGGGGCATCCCAGGACCCCAAGATCATGACCTGAGCTGAAGGCAGATACTTAACCAACTGAGACTCCCAGGCGCCCCTACATGGAACCTTTAATATATAAATGATAATTCTAACTTCATAGGTTTGCTGTAAGGATTGAGTCACATGATACAAGTGGGATACTTAGAATAGTGTCTGTCACATTGTAAAGTGCCCAGTGCATGCTAGGCTGAATGATGACTCTTAATATCATTACTTAAACAGGTGTACCACGTTTCAAGAAGTGCCCAGTTGTAACCTTTGAGATACCACCGCGGAGTCCCAAGACTCTATGGGAAGGTTAAAACCACTGGCCCTGGGGTACCTGAGTGGCTCAGTCAATTGAGCATCAGACTCTTAGTTTTGGCTCAATCATGATCTCAGGGTCATGAGATCAAGTCCCGTGTTGGGCTCCACACTCAGCGCGGAGTCTGCTTGACATTCTCTCCCTCTCCCTCTGCCCATCCCCCCACTTGTGTGCTCGTGCTCTCTCGCCCTCTCTCTTCCTCTCTATAAAACAAAAACAAACAAACAAAAAACAGCCATGGGTCCCAAAACTCTCTAACGGCTGTCCCTGCCGGAGCTGACATTCGATGCTACCTTGTACGCCATCCCAGCCCAGGCCTGGGGGTTCTGAGAGGACATGAGTTGGCTTCAGCAGACGTAGATTTACCATGAAGCCTGTGAAGCTTAAGCTTTAGGACACATTCCTTGTATGGGGTTATATGTCTTATAAAAGTTGCAAAAGTAGGATATTCTAACCACAATCAGACCACTGTCTCTTTCTACCCCGTCTCCTCCAACACACCTCGCTTCAATGCCATGGGTGTTTTTGGACTCTCACTTGCTAAAGGAAGGTTGGTTTGGGTTTGGGTTTGAAAGGATGTATGAATGGGGTTCTAGCTTCTTCCGGGTCTAGTTTTATTATTTCTGAATGCTCCAAAATGGCTTCTGCGAATATTCCTCATGCTCATTGTACTGTCCTCCCCCATGTTGTGATATGGAGGTGCAGAATCAGAGACCCTTATCATGCCTGGCCCGTCTGCTATGAGGGTGTTGGAGCTGAAATAAGGTTTGAAATGTATGAAGCCAGAAGCTACTCTGTGGAAAATGCTTCCAAACCTTATAGCTCACATATAAAAGGTGCTTGATAGAGGTTATCCCAAGTTTGACAACAATCCTTTTTTTTTTAAGATTTTATTTTTAGGGGCGCCTGGGTGGCTCAGTCGGTTAAGCATCTGCCTTCGGCTCAGGTCATGATCCCAGGGTCCTGGGATCGAGCCCCACATTGGGCTCCCTGCTCGGCGGGAAGCCTGCTTCTCCCGCTTCCACTCCTCCTGCTTGTGTTCCCTCTCTCGCTGTGTCTCTCTCTGTCAAATAAATAAATAAAATCTTAAAAAAAAAAAAAAAAGATTTTATTTTTAGGGGCACCTGGTGGCTCAGTTAAGTAGCTGCCTTTGGCTCAGGTCATGATCTCAGGGCCCTGGGATGGAGCCCCACATTAGGCTCCCTGCTCAGCAGGGAGTCTGCTTCTCCCTCTCCCTCTCCCTCTGCACCCCCCAACCCCCTGCTCATGCTCATTCTCTCTCTCTCAAACAAATAAAATATTTTTTAAAATTTTTAAATATTTTATTTTTAAGTAATCTCTATACTCAATGTGGGGCTTGAACCCAACAACAATCCTTAAGAACATAAATAACCATATCAATAATAAAATGCAAAGCTGAAGGAAAAAAATCTAAATAATCACTAATAAAAAACTAATTCTGTCATATTTTTAGCGACCACTTCTTTTTTTTTTTTAAGATTTTATTTATTTATTTGAGACAGAGAGAACGAGAGAGAGAGCACATGAGAGGGGGGAGGGTCAGAGGGAGAAGCAGACCCCCCGCCGAGCAGGGAGCCCGATGCGGGACTCGATTCCGGGACTCCAGGATCATGACCTGAGCCGAAGGCAGTCGCTTAACCAACTGAGCCACCCAGGCGCCCTCTAGCGACCACTTCTTAAGTGCAACAT